GCAGGAGAGTGTGTGAGGAAGGGGCTGGTTGGAGGCCGGAGGCGGCTGGAAGTCCTATCCGTCCATCTTTCCTGCAGGAGCTGAAGTGGGAATCAGCACCTCGCGGATCCACGCCCGGGGACCGGTAGGACTTGAGGGGCTGCTCACGACCAAGTGGCTGCTCCGAGGCCAGGACCATGTGGTCTCAGATTTCTCAGAGCACGGAAGTTTGAAATACCTTCACGAGAACCTCCCAGTTCCGCAGAGGACCACCAACTGAAAGAGCCCGGGAGACCTGGAGCGTCCCCAGAGGTCTGCACGGCGAGATGCGTCTTAGGAAGCTCCGGGCAGAGCCAGATCTCGTCTCCCAGTTCCTGGATCGGCCCGCGGCCCGTGCTTCTTGGCTCAATTTGGCAACATTGGGTTTGGCTAACGTGCGAATTGCAGCTCGCCCTTTTTCTTTTTTTAGTAAGAGAATGATCTCTATGGGCAATGACCTCCCTTTGCCAGTCCTGTCCTCTTCAGTGACAGAAACAGAAAGGCGCCCATGAAGACCAGGAGCGGTCACGCTGGGCGTCGGCGGGGCCTGGGGTCAGGCACTGCGACCAAGTCTTCTCACATCCCGTGTCCGCTCACTCGAGTCATCTTCGAAAAGGAAAGGTTTGCATTCAGAGGAGGGCAGCCCTCTTTAGCATTCTCATCAGAAGTAGTCACAGCGCTGGCCTGCATCGTTCCCGCGGGGAGGACGGAGCTCTTGGGTTTATCTGGGGAGTAAATAAATAAGCATCGCAGACGCCGCAGCCTTCCGATCTCAGGCGCCACGCAGTGTGGTGGGGCTGGGACCCGCGCTGCCGGCGCGAGCTGCGAGGCCCAGGAGGGTCCCCCCCAAGCGGGAGGGAGATCTACAGCTGTGTCTACAGCTGTGTCCGAAATTTTTATATGGGTTATTTTGTCGTCTGATCCTTCTCCAAAACAAAAATTAGAATATTATTTTAATACTTTGGATTCTTCTCCACTTTTTGAAAAATAAAGTTCTTATGAAAAGTCTGCACAATTCACTTCTCCCTCACTTGTCCCTGCCCTCTTCCTCCTCCCTCCCTGTGGCCCTCTGAGGGCCCCCACACACACACACACACACATACACAGGCCTGGCCTCTCTGTCCTGGAAGCAGCGGGGGCGGTCCCCCGGGGGCGAGACTCCGGCTGGGAGAGCAGGGAGGGAAAACATGAACCCCCCGTGAGCTGGAAGCCAGGTGAGGCCTGAAGACCGTGGCATGCGCACCACGACTTTGCTGCCAGCGTGTCCCACCCCCACAGCACCCACTCAGTGGCAGCCCCGCCTGGCAGCCTGCCATCACCTCGGGTGGGAATGACGTCATCCTTGGCTCCTCCCTGCCAGATCTGCTGACAGCTCCGACCCTCACCTCCCTCCCTCCAGCCCCTGTCCTTAGGGTCCCTGGTGCCCCACAGTCTGCTGCTGAAAGGCTTCTTGTCTCCTGGGGCTTCCTAGACAAGTAATGCCCCTCACTTGCTCCTGCTTATCCTCTGAGGATGTTTTACGAGCAGAATGATGGCGTCGTGTGGAACGTTCCAGGCTGGCTGCAAACCTGCTCTCCTCCAGACCCTTACATGGTCTGGTGAGTCCCCCGGCCTGGCCTGGCCTGGCCTGCCCTTGGAGGGGAGCTCTGGCATAGCTTGCCTGAAAAGGCAATGAACAAAGTCCTGCCTGGAACTGTATCGCAAATACCGCAACCAGCTCCCAACCAGACAAGTGTCCCAGGGTCCGAAATAGAAAGTGACCCAAGAGAGCTGGAGCCCTTGGGGAAGACCACTGAGCAGCAGGCCTGGAGTGGGCCCTGAGGAAGGCCAGTCCTGGGGTAAGGTGTGGGCAGGGCCCCCCGGCAGGGCCTGGGCAAGCCGGAGTCCAGAGCTGGGCTGAGCTGATCAAGTCTGGGGAGCAGTGAGCATGCCAGTCTGGAGCCTTAGGTCTATGTGGGTAACAGGAAGGTTACCCCGGATAGCTGGCCCAGGGAGCACAGCAGCCCCTTTCCCAGGGCGTTGCTAGGGTTGGACTTGGCCAGGGAAACAGGTAAAGCTCAGTTCCCGTGAAGGCCGCTTCTCTGAGACAGACTTCACCCACTGTCAGTTTCAACAGGAGCTGGGGCCATCAGCATTCTCCCTTTTTACCCCCAAAGTGAAGAGGCCCCTGGAGCCCCGAGGCAGCTACGGTCTCATGAATACGCCCGCCCCACAGTCCCACGCTGGCTGTCCTTACTGGAGGAGTTACATTTTTTAATTGTTTTAGGTTTTTGTTATAGGGCATGTGTGCTAGCCAGAGACAGTGAGAAGGAAAATGAGAAATCACTGCCCAGGGGGTTGGCCAGACCTCAACCCCTTCTCCTCTCAGGATTTGGGGCACACACACACCCCCAGCCTAACTTGCAAGCCACCGGGTCTGGGACTCAAACTACAGTCAGCCATGTGGGAATCCAGAGCCTTAACCACCACACCCCCTGCTGGTCCTGCAGGAGGAGTTTTTGTTCTGAAGTCCCTCCTGTGGCCCAGCCCTACGACTCCCCTTTCCTGGCCACTACCTTCTGACTACACAGGCCACTGAGCCAACCAGTCCGGAAGCTCCCACCTCCCACCGAGGAGGGCGCCAGGGAGCTGTAGCTAGCAAAGGGTCTTACCCTCCCAGACGCTTTGCCTGGGCTTAGCTCATACCCAGAGCACCTCTAGTATGGTGCGCGTGCGCACCACGGGGCGTTTGCGGAGTGGGCGGCGAGGGCAGGCTGTGAGCGGTCAGACTGTCTGCCCAGTAGCCCTTGTTTTATGGGACCATCTCTCCCATTTGCAGGAAACCTGCTTGGTCTCTGTGGCCCACGATTTTTAGTGGTGGTCACATGACTCAGTTTCTTCAGGGCTGGGCATAGCTCAGGCAGTCTCCGGCTGAAGGCCAAACAGCAGGCTGGCGAACCCTTTACTGCAAGTAGGAAAACAGGACTCTGTTCTGCTGGGGTTATAAACTCATGTTAGTCTCGAGGTCTGGGGCTGATCGTCAACTCCTTCCTATCATGTAGAGTCTGTGTAAAAAACATCCAACATAGGACGGGCCGGCAAGTGGCATGGTGGTTAAGGGCACTGGGCTCCCACATGGCCAACCACGGTTCGAGTCCCAGACCAGGTGGCTTGCTTTCTCACTTTCCCTCTCTCTCTGTCCCTCTCTTTATTTATTAAAGTAAATAAAGTTAAGTAATTCTTTAGGGACCAACAGTTGCCATAATGGCTGTCACTGGACTCCCATATAATTGACCACGGTTCAAGTCCCAGACCCAGTGGCTTAAACTCATGCTGGGCACGTGTGTGTGTATCCAAGATCCCGAGAGGAGAATGGAGGAGAAGGGATTGTGGCGTGGCGGTCCCCCCTGAGGGAGTGATTTCTCGCTTTCTGTCTCTCTGTATTTCTCTGTCTTTCTGGTGAGCTCACGCACCCTATAGCAAAGACCTCTCAAAAAAAGTATTTAATAAGAAAAGGAAATATCCAGCATAGGAAAGGGAGCCCAGGGGTATGTGGTTTGCCCACCGGGTTCCACCTATGCCTGAACTGGACTCAATTCCGTAACCTTCCTTTTTGGCTTGAACTACATTGAGTTGGGTTTCCACCCTTTCCATCTCAGAAGACTGCGTAATAGACCTGGTTCAACCTCTGCTCTGCCGCAGTAATGGGAACCTTGGCCCGGCGCTGGCCCGGCGCACACTCAGCAAGGAGGGAGGGCCGCGCTGGGCGGCTTCAGGGGCCCGGGTCTGTGCATAGCTCTGACTCCACGAGAGCTCAGAGCATCGTTCATCGTTCCTCGTTCCTCGTGAGCGGTTCCGAGCGCCAGCTCTTCCCGCCCGGCTGCACCTGGTCAGAGAAGTCGGCCTTGCCCACGCGGGGCCTGAGCAGACGCCCCGCTCCTGAGTGACAGCAAGAAGTAGCGCCGTGGCTGCTGGGGAGGCCCGGGCAGTCAGGGCCGGAGTTGGGACCTGAGAAAGGAAGGTGAGTCCAGGTGGGTGCCAGCTTCTCCCCGAGAGCAGAGGTCCTGAGGAGGCCATCTGTAAATGGGGTGGGGCAAAGAGAGACTCGGGTGTCTAGACACGCGAGTGCCGCCGCCTGGCGTGTGCTCTTCTGAACGGGAAGTTCTTTTTCAGTTTTATATTTCCGTTTGTCACAGGATGTACTTGCCAGAGGGACAGAAAGGGAGGAAGAAAGCACCCCGCGGTGGCGCGTGGTCACACCACGATCCCGTCCCCATTTCTCCATCCGCCCAGGATTTGGGGACAGGCATGTGCACAACCCAGGG